GTCAAGATGAATTTCGACGCGCGGCCCGGCGCGCTCGCGCGCGACCTCGACCTCCGCCAGCCCAAGTACAACGTCACGGCGGCCTACTGCCACTTCGGCCGCGAGCCCTACACCAAGGACGGCATCCGCTACTTCGCGTGGGAGGACGCCATCGACCTCTCCAAGTACGCGACCATGTCCGCGGCCGACGTCGACAAGGCCGTCGCGGCCAACAAGGCGAAGATCCTCGCCAAGTGGGTCGACTAGGCGCCGCCGGCCCGGCCGCCCCGGGCGCGGGCGCCCCCGCCGACGCGGGGGCCCCCGCCACCGGGGCGCCCCGCGCGATCGCCGCCGCCGCGGCCGCCCGCTCCTCCCCCCGGAGCGCCGCGCTGGCGCCGACGCCGCGCCCGGAGCCGCCGACGGCGGTTAAGGGCACCTTCCTGCAGTCGCGGGAGTCGCGGGGGCGGCGGTCGAGATGCGCCAGTCGGTCGAGACGTCGGTCTCGAGGGCCGCCAAGCACACTGAAGTTCAACCAAAGGTTCATGATGGCGAGTGCCGGGCGCGCGATGAAGAGGGGCTGCTCGCCCGGCGCTTCGAGCTAGTCGCGCCGTGCCAAGCTTGTTGCGCGCCTCGCCACGTGGCTGCGTCTCGCCCGGCGCTTCGGGCTAGTCGCGCCGTGCCAAGCTTGTTGCGCGCCTCGCTACGGAGGGCTGCGATGGCCGGCTGGTTCTCGTTGACCGGCTGGTTCTGGTCGCTCTGGGCGTTCCTGGGCTGGTGTGTGTGGCTCGCGAAATGGGCCGTGCTTGCCGCGACCTTGTTTCCCGAAGGTCCCTGGTACGAGAAGACCGAGAAGCAGAAGACTGGCAATGACATGATAGCGACCGTGGATACGCTGCTGGGAGAGATCCGCGCCGCGTGGCGCAAGCTCACGAAGGCGGACGCGTTGGAGCTCCGCGCCGCGTTCGTCGCTCACCTGAAGAACCCAGAACCCTGCATCCCGCCGCCCTCGGCCGAGGAAGACGTCGCAGGGATCACGCCGCCACCGTCAAGGAACCCGCTGCCATCGCTGCCATCGCTGGCATCGACCGTGCTCGAGATGAACATCGCCGGGTACTATTCGATCGGCGACGGCGACGGCGGCGGCCGCTATCGCGCGCTGGCGGCGGCCCTCGCGCTGCACGTCGCGATCGTGGGTCATCACGCGCTCGTGAGCATGACGGAAACGAACTGTCGCAGGAGGGTAAAACACTGCACGGACGTCGTCGGCACGCTCGTCGTGTACACCATCTTTTATCTGCCTTGCTTTCTTTACAGAGACGTCGCGTTCGCCGAGCCCCACCGCCGCGGCAAATTTCTCTGCGTCACCGCGCGCCTTTTCATCTCTGGTTTCTGGAGCCGTTCGGGCCCAAATGGTATAGTGCAAGTAGGATGGTACTTGGCGGCTTGGGCCGGTCCGCTGTGGTCTTTCGCCATGTCGTACCTCCTTTCAATGAGCAAGAGCTGCAACCCCAAGTGCCACGTGTGCGAGGTGCACAGGTACAGGAAGCGGATGATGCGATGCGAGACGTGCGGCCGGATCTACTGCAGCAAGGAGTGCGCGAAGAAGGATCGCCCCAACCACGCGTGCCGGCGCGCGAAGGACCACGCGTGCCGGCGCGCGAAGGCGCCGGCCCGCGACGAGGCCGGCGCGGAGCGGCGAGAGGAGAGGAGGAAGCGAGGGCCTAAGAAGGACCTGTGAAGCCGACGGGTCCACCCGGGCGCAGGCCTCGCGACGGCGCGGAGCGCTCGAGGCGGGAGGCCTGGCGGGCGTGCAGCGTAGCAGCCTCGTAGCGGCCCGGACCCCGGCGACGGCGGCCGGGCGATCGAGGACATCGAGGCTCGACTGAGTTCGACTGAGACGATCACAGGCGTCAAGCTTCGCAATCATGGACGCCGACCTCCCGCAGATCCAGCTCGTCTACGGCAGCATCGCCGCGCTGCTCGTCGTCTGCTACGCGCGCGGCCTCGCGCGCGGCGACCTCCAGAAATCAGGGACCTACGCCATCTCCGCGGTCGTCGAGTGCCCCTACAACGTGGCGCTGGTCCAGTTCGTGATCTGCCCGCTCTTCCTGGGCGTGCTCTACCTCATCGCCCGCGACGCCGGCGGCGGCGCCTTCGGCGACGTCTACACGTGCGTCGCCGTCGCGGGCGTCGGCGTCGGCTTCGGCGTCACGGCGGGCTTCGAGTGCACCGAGCACCCGATTGTACACGACGTCGGCACGCTCGTCATGGCGGTCTGCAGCCTCGCGATGCTCAAGCGCATCGAGCCCGACTTCTCCGACGTCGTCGGCTGGGTCGGGGCGCTGGCCGCGGGCTACTCGTGCCACTTCGCGCGGGGCCTCGACGTGCCGCGGACCGTCCTGCCGTCGCACCACGCGTGGTCGTTCTTCCACGGCCTCTTCCAGTGGGTCCTGTTCTACTACACCGTCGTCTGCACGACGCCCCGCGCGACGTAAGGGTCCTCGTTCTACGCGTCCCAGCGCGCGTAGGCGTCGAGGGTCGCCCGGGCGACGCCGCGGCCCGTCTTCGCGAATACGACCTCGAGCGGGTGGACGTCCGCGCCGCCGTACTCGCCGGGGTACTGGAGGTCGCCGCCGTGGGCGTTGCGCTCCAGGAGGCCGAGGCAGGCGGCGTAGAGCGCCGCGCCCTCGGCCCCCTCGCCGCGCGCGGCCGCGGGCGTGACGACGCCCGGCGCCGGCGCGAGGCCCCGGAACGCCGCGAGCTGCGTGCGCAGGGCGTAGCCCGCGTCGAGGAACGCGCGGCTCAGCGGGATCTCGCCGCCGAAGACGGCGGCGTCGTGGTCCGCCTTGCAGTCGAGGACGCCCGACGGCAGCACGACGCGGCCGAGGCCCGCGGCGTGCGTCGCCCAGAACATGGACTGGAGGTGCGTCTCGCCGAGGCTCGCCCAGCAGTTGAGCGACGTGCCCACGAGCCCGACGCCGTGCGGGCCGCCGAGCTGGTCGCCGAAGACGACCCACCAGGGCCGCGCCTCGAAGAGCGGCAGGTACGGGCCCCGGACCGACGCGTTGAGGAAAAAAAAGTGCGTGTAGCGCTCCCGCGGCCCGAAGGCGCCGACGGCCTCGTCGAGCCCGACGCCCCAGGCGCCGAAGTCGAAGCAGTCGTTCGCGCGCTCGACGACGGCGACGTTGCCGGCCGCGAAGGCGGCGGCCTCGAGGCTGTGCGGCCCATTGAGCACGAAGACGTGCTCGCCCTGCGTCGGCGGCAGCAGGCCGCGCGCGACGAAGTGGTGCAGGTTGTCGCGCGCGAGCGACGTCTCGTGGTAGGCGAAGAGCACCAGGGCGAACATCTAGAGGCTGCCCATCATCGTGCGGTGCTCGATGAAAACTCCAGGTCGGTGATGAACTTGAGCTACTTGAGGCGAGGTGGATTGCAGAGACCTCGTGGCGTGGTGACATAGGAAGCGATGAGCAAGGCAATCGTCGTGGCATTGGCCATGCTGGCCTCGGCCAGCGCGCTCCAGGCGCCGAAGACGCTCCGCGCGTCGGCGAACGGCCCGCGCTTCACGACGGCCGTGCCGGCGGAGACCGACGTCGCCGTCGCCGTCGAGAAGCCCGAGGCCGAGGCCGCCGTCGTCGTCGGCGAGGCGCCGACGGCCGCCGCGTGGCGCGCGGCCTGCGACGCCGACGGCGTCATGTCCTACGCCGACTTTGGGGTCAAGCTCGCGGCCGGTGTCGAGGCGCCGGCGCCCGCGGCCGAGGAGCCCGCGGCCGCGGCGCCGAACGCGCCGGAGCCCGCGGCGCCCGCGGCCGCGGCCGCGCCCGCCGCCGAGGAGGAGGCGTCCGTGCCCGCGCGCCTGCCCGGCGACCTCGTCTTCAAGCGCTTCGCGGACCAGGAGTACAGCCAGCTCTCCGAGGCGTTCGGCGTGCTTCCCGTGCTCGCGCGGCCGAAAATCCTCGACGGGTCCCACGCGGGCGACTACGGCTTCGACCCGGCGGGCTTCTGCACGACGAACGAGGAGCTCTACAACCAGATGGAGGCCGAGGTGCGCCACTGCCGCCTCGCGATGCTCTGCGCGGCGGGCTGGCCCATGGCCGAGCTCAAGGGGCCCGACTTCTTCGACGGCGCGCTCCTCGCCGACGGCGGCCGCGCGCCGACGGTGCTCAACGGCGGCCTCCTCGAGGGCTTCCCGCCGCTCAACGCCCTCGCCGTCCTCGCCTTCTTCGCGGCGTTCGGCGCGCGCGAGCTCGAGGTCATCGGCACGCTGAAGTCGCAGACGCTCTACGGCGGCGTCCACAAGAAGGACATGGAGGCGCTCGAGGGCGAGTGGCCCTGGGGCGTCGCCGGCGACGAGGACTTCGACCCCCTCGGCCTCTACGGCCTCCTCGGCAAGGACGCCGTCGGCCGCTTCTGCATGCGCGAGCTCGAGCTGAACCACGGCCGCGTCGCCATGCTCGCCGTCCTCTCCTACGTCGCCATCGAGGCGACCTTCCACATCCCCGTCGTCCAGCTCACGCCCTTCCTCTTCGGCAAGTGGTTCTGGTAGGCGGGCCGCGCGCCCCAAGTCCCCGCTTCGCGTCGCCGCCGGTCCCCCCCCCCCTTAATGTCACGCCCCTGGACCTGCCGGCGCGGCGGGGGATTCGGGTGAGGGGCGGACGGTGCGGCGGCCGAGGCCGGGGTCGGCTGGCGCGCTCGAGAGTCCGAGGGGCGACGGTCGCCGAGCCCGTGCGAGGTGAGGCCTGAGGCTGAGGCGGCGCGGTTGCCCGCCACGCGGGTCGCAGGACATCGAGTCCGCATCTTGCCTCGCCTCGTCCGCCGCGGCCTTGTCCACAGCCGCCTCGACATCGCATCTTGCGACGCGGCGGCCTCGTCGTCGACGAACTGAGGAGCGTCCGCGCACGCGCCGCCGCGGCCGCGTCGTTCGAGCGATGCTTCTCGCCGTGCGCCGCTCCACCCGCACATGCATGCGCCACGTTCGCAGATGTAGCGGCGGCGCGTCCGTGAGCCGGAGCAACCTTCCCGGCGGCGGCAGCGCCGTGGCCCTCTTCGGCCGCGCGCCCCAGGTCTGCGCGGCCCTGAAGGACGAGTGCCGCGGCGAGACGCTCGCCGTCGTCGTCGCCGCGTCGACGGTGGCGCTGCGGTCGCTGCTCGACAGCCGGGCGCTGCGCCACACGAACGTCGTCGGCGCCGTCGACCGGTCGGCGTTCGCCGCCGACGACATGGCGCACGTCGTCGCCGCGCACGTCGGCTCGAGCCTCGACGTCGTGACCTTCGACAGCACGCGCGGCGCGCTGCCCGAGCTCGGCCGCCAGAAGCTCGAGGCCGCGCTGGACCCGCGGCGCGCGCCGCACTTTGTCGTCTTCGCGGGCGAGCGGCGCGGCGACGGCGCCGACGACGGCGACGGCGAGCCGGCGAACGACGAGGACGCGCCCGGGGCCGTGCTCGAGACGTTCCGGCGCCGCGTCGAGGGCCTCTTCGGCGCCGCGTCGTCGTGCTCCGGCGTCGTCGCGCGCCGCGACGGCTCGCCCGCGCGCGTCGTCCACGCGCGGCGGCTGAACCGGCCCGGCCGGCGCCGCGCGGGGCGCCTCAAGGTCTACGACGCCGCGCGCGGCGGCGCGCTCGTCGGCGTCGCGTTCCTGCCGCGCGCGGCGGGCGCGCGCGGCGCGGGCGCGGGCACGGCCGACGCGCTGGCGACGCTCGCCTTCGGCGGCGCGGGCGCGAAGCGGCTCTGGGCGGCGAGCGACGGGCGCACGGGCCCGGACGACCAGCGCGTGCTCGCGGCGGCCTACGGCTTCTACGACGCGTTCGACCGCGTCGACGCGGACGCGCTGCGCGCGTCGTGGCACCCGACGGCGGAGACGTCGGTCGTCCACCCGGGCGCGGCGCTCGTCCGCGGCTTCGCGAACGTCCAGCGGTCCTGGCGCGACCTGCTGGCCTCGACGAGGGCCGGCGGCGTCGAGTCCTTCGGGTTAATCGTGGCGGACCTGGCGCTCGACGCCGCGGAGAACGTGGCCTTCGCGACGTGCGCCGTGACGTCGCCGGCGACCTTCGGCCGCGCGCACAGCATCCAGGCGACGAACATCTTCCTGCGCGACGGGGAGCGGTGGAAGCTCGCGCACCACCACGCGTCCGTCTCCGACGGCCTCGACGACTTCGACGACGACGACCTCGCGGACTACGTCGCCGAGTCCGTCGACGTCGCCGCGCGGCCGCGGACGGAGTAGGGCGTAAGAGGTACTCACATGTGTGCCCAGCGGGATTCCTTACCTCGAGAAGCCCGCGCGCTTGCCCGCGCGCCGGACCTGGAGCGCGACGAGCTGGCGGACCGCGCCGCCGGCGACGCGCGCGCCGAGCCACGCGAGCTTGGCGAGCGTCGCGACGCCGCGGAGGCCGCCCGCGAGCTGGGTGCGCAGGTGGTAGGCGACGAGGAAGCGCGCGACCTTGCGCTGCCACTTGCGCTGCCGCGCGGCGAGGCGCCGGCTCTGCGGCGACGTCGCGCGGGAGATCCGCGCGCCGCCCTTGGCCGACAGGCTCACGGGCCCGTCGGGGTTCGGCGGCGGTGGCTCGCGGTGCGCGGGCATGAGCTTGCGGTCGATGGCGCCGCAGAGCTCGAGCGCGGCCTTGCGGCGGATGACGCGGCCGGACGGGCCGACGAGCTTCGTCGCGAGGTCCGCCGCGTCGATATCCCGCATCGTCTTCCGCAGCGCCGCGCCGCCCGACGACCCGACGACGGCCGTCAGCGCCTCGCCGAGGTCCGCCTCCGGCTGGACGTCGGACGCGGCCTCGGAGGACCCGCCGCCGTCGTCCTGCACGAGGTCGAGGATCGCGTCCCACTTGACGCGGTTGTCGTCGCCCAGCAGGCTCCCCCGGAGCGTCGCGACGCCCTGGGGCGACGTCGGCGCCAGGGACCGCCGCAGGGCCCAGGGCAGCGACATCTCGTAGATGTTGAAGTCCGGGTCGACCTGCGCCGCGATGCCCTCCAAGGTGAGGAACGTGCGGATGAGCAGGAGGCAGTAGGGCGGCGTGAACATCTTCCAGCGCTTGCTCAGCTTGCCGTTGAGCACCTCGGCGAGCGCGCCGAAGCGCGACGACCCGCCCTCCGTCGCGGCCATTGCGCTCCGGAGCTCGTCCTCGAACTGGGCGAGGCCCTCGGCGTCCGCGACGTCGCGGTAGGGCACGCCCGGCGCCTCCCGGAACTCGAGGGGCGTCGTCAGGAACCCGACCTTCTGGAACACGAAGGCCAAAGTGGCGTAGTCCTCGGCGAGGCACGCGCGGATGCCCGTCGCGAACGACTCCATGATGTCGCCGTCGACGCGCGACATCAAACCAAAGTCGAGGAAGACGACCTTGCCGTCGTCCTGGAGCATGAGGTTGCCCTCGTGGGGGTCCGCGTGGACGAAGCCCGTCAGCACGAGGGACGCCGTGCAGGCCTCGACGGCGAGCTGCGTCATCAAAGCGCCGTCGCGGCGGCCGAGGCGCTCCATGTGGTCGCCTTTGATCCACCTGGGCAGGAAAAGAGAGATTCAACGTCGCTTCAATTTGAGTGTTCCGCGCGCGCGCGTTCCTTACAAGCATGCATGCTTCGAAACCGTTCCAAGAGATGATCGCTCGTCCAAAGGTCAGCCGAAACGAGTGGAAAACGGCCGAGATAGGAGCCTTTGAAGTTGGGAATTTCGCTCTCTTTTCCTGCCCTGGGATCCACTCCGTCGTGAGCACGCGCGACGTCGACAGCTCCGGCAGGAACGTGGGCACGTCCACGAAGCCCAGGAAGTCGAGCGACTGCTTGAACTCCGCGGCGTTGACGGCCTCGAGGTCGTAGTTGAGCTCGTCGAAGATGCCGTCGGCGACGGTGTCGACGACCTCGCCGATGTCGCCGTTGTCGAACGCCGCGCCGCGCTTCCAGGCCCACCACTTCTCCACGAGGGCCCAGACCACGGCGAAGCACGTGTAGTCCACGGCGACGGTGCGCAGCGCGTCGGGCCGCTGCACCTTGACCGCGACGTCCTGGCCGCCGTGCGTCGCGCCCCGGTAGACCTGCCCGAGCGACGCGACGGCCGCGGGCTCGCGCTCGAGGCTCGCGAGCCAGTGCGCGTCCGTCTTCCGGAAGGGCGCCGACGGGTCGGCGACGATGCCCGGCGCGAGGAGGCCCGGGTGCTCGAGGCCGAACTCGTCCGCCATGTACGCGAACGCGGCCTCGTTCGAGAACGCCGCGTTCCGCGTCTGCAGCGCCTTGAGCGCCTCGCAGGCCTCCTCGCCGACGAGGTCGGGCCGCTGGCTCAGCGTCTGGCCCACCTTGACGCTCACGGGGCCCAGCGACGCGATCGCGTCCCGCAGCATGCCGCCCCGCGTCCGCCGCTCGGGCGCCGTCGCCTCGTCGGCCTCCCAGGCGTCGCGCGTGCGCTTGAACGTCGACGCGACGACGCCGAGGCGCTTCGCGACGACGAGGGGGCGCTCGGCCATGAAGCCCAGGATCTTCTCCCGGTCGAACTCGCCGCGGAGCTGCTCGTAGGGCGCCAGCTTGTCAAAGTCGAACTCGCCGAGCTTGCCCGTGCGCGGCGCGACGGCCGGCGCCGGCGGCGTCACCGTCGGCTTCGGCTGCGTGACCACCGCGCGCGCGACGGCCGCGAGGGCCAGGGCGGCCCACCGCATGGCAGTCATCGACGATGGACGCCGCCTCAAGTGCTCTGATGCACTGAGCTAAGTGCTCCAGAGAGTCAAGTGAGGGTCAACGACGACCTTGAAGTGCTGATGTCTGCGCGCGGCTGAGACGTCGAAGCCTCGTCGAAGCTCCGCGCCGACTGCCGCGAGTCCTCGAGAAGGCAGCTACACGTCCCTGAGGTCCAAAAGAGGCAGTTACACGCCCTAGAGGTCCGAAGGCGACAAAAAACGAAAAAAGGGGGGAGGGGGCGGGGGCTCGCGGCGGGCGCCGCGTCTCGCGGCGCCGCGCCGCGGCGTGGCGCGCCGCGCTCAGAGCATGTCGCCGGCCGGGCCCGCCTTCTCGTCGCCCATCTCGGGCTTCTCGACGCGGGCCGCGATGGTCTCGCGCTTCCACTTGGCGCGGTAGAGCTGGTAGGCGACGACGAGGGACAGGAGGAGGCCGAGGACGACGATGGCGACGATGGCGAGGACGTTCGTCGACGCGGAGCCGACGTGGCCGTCGGAGAGCGAGGACACGGCGTCGGCCTCGGACTCCGGGTAGGTGATCGTGATCGTCGTCGCGTCGCGGCCCGTCTGCACGCGGCGGATGGAGCAGCCGGCGTCGCAGGCGTCGAAGCACCCGAAGTCGTCGCCGAGCGTGAGGCGGAAGGCGAGGAACTTCGTCTCCGTCTCGCCCGAAGCGACGTACTCGGCGTACTGCGCCTTGACGTCGTCCTTGGCGTCGCGGAGCCCGAGGCCGTGGAGGTCGACGAAGACGTCGTCGTACATCTTCGCGTCGTCCGTGACCAGGACGCTGAAGAAGGCGTCCTCGACGTGCGCGTAGGCCTCGGACATCTCGATGACGTAGACGAGCTCCATGACGGACCGCGTGCACGAGCTCGACGAGCCGCCGACGCCGATCGTCGACGTCGTCGACGACGACCGGACCCTCGTGCCCGTGCCGTAGCGGAAGTAGACGGAGTCGTACTCGACGTCGACGGCGACGGACGCCATCTCGACCTCGCCCGTCGTCGGCGCCGCCGTCTCCGCCGCCACGCACTCGAAGTAGGGCTCGCCGAGCCGCGCGGACTTCTGCGCGGCGTAGAGGGAGCTCGGAAACACGTGCATCTGCAGGCTCTCGACGACGCCCGGCTCCACGGTGGGGCCGACCTCCCAGCCGTCGTAGGCGACGACGACGGGCGCGGCCTGGTCGATGACGGCGCCGATGGCGTAGTTCTTCGCGCCCGGCGGCGACTGGATCACGAGATTCTCGCTGTGGCCGCTCGAGAAGATGTAGGCGTTCCAGAACATGATCTCGGCGCCGGACCAGCCGTGGCCGCTGCCCATGTTGCCCCGGTCCCAGGCGCGCATCTGGCCGCCGACGACGCGGTCGTAGAGCTGGCCCGTCGCGTAGCGCATGTGCCTGGGCAGCAAAGAGTGATTCAACATCGCTTCAACTTGAGTCCGCGCGCGCCGTTCCGGAAAAGGCGCCCACGCTTCGAGGCTGTTCCGAAAGATGATCGCTCGTCCAAAAATCAGCCAAAACGAGTGGAAAACGGCCGAGAAAGGAGCCTTTGAAGTTGGGAATTTCGCTCTCTTTTGCTGCCCTGGCATGTGCGGGCCGATGTCCTCGTACGCGTGCTCCGCCGTGCAGTCGACCCAGACGTTGGGCCCTAACACGACGCCGCCCGTCACGTAGTCGTGGCGCCCGCGGCGCGCGTAGTTGTTCGCCCAGAGCGTGAGCTGGCCCTCCAGGCTGAAGCTGTAGCGGCGGCCGCCCGTGATCACGGACACGGGGTCGTACGCGGACGACCGCTGCACCGTCGTGAACTTGGCCCAGGTGTTGGACTGGACGCAGGCGAAGACGAAGTGCCAGCAGGACACGTCGCTGACCCAGGAGTGCTCCACGTAGTCCATCTTGATGAAGATGTACGCGTGGTCCTCCTCGCCCTCCTCCTCCAAGGTGCCGCCCGCCTGGTCGTAGATCGACTTGATCGTGAAGTCGGCGAAGCCGATCTCGCTGAGGCGGCCGCCGTTGGTCCAGGTCTGGACGTAGAGGCTCGCCGCGCCGAGGGCCGCGTCCATGGGGTGCACGAGCGCGACGTCGAGCACGACGCCGTCGTCGAGCACCTCGACGACCTCGCGCTCCCAGGCCTCGAGGTAGCCGCTCGCGACCCAGTCGTAGCACAGGGGGTCGTCGCGGAAGTCGACGGACTCGCATTCCGGGATCGCGTCCATGCCGATGCTCGCGATCCACGCGTCCGTCGGCGCCCACTCGACGACGACGGAGTCGCCGACCGCGAAGCCGCTGGAGTCGCAGTGCACCGTCGTCGCGCCGAGCGGCGCGTAGGCGTCCGTGATGGCGACGCGGTTCGACTCCGAGGGCCGCGCCGACGAGCCGACGCCGGCCTCGAACGTGTTCTGGCCGTAGTTTTCGTGCGTCGCCCAGATCGTCGTCTCGTCCTCGCCCGCGCCCTTCAAAATGACGCCGCTGGCCATGACGGACACCGTGCCGCTCACGAAGAAGGTGCCCGGCGCGAGCATGACCGTGCCCCGGATGCCCGCCTCGTCGAGGTCCATCGCCGACACCGCGTCGACGGCCGCCTGGATCGCGGCCGTGTCGTCCGCGTCGCAGACGTAGCCGTAGCCCGCGTCGTCGTCGAAGGCCTCGATGCAGGCCTCGACCGTCGCGCTCGGGTTCACGGTGAAGGTCGCCGCCGTGTCCAGGGGCAGGTCCGCGCCGTAGTGGTAGCCCACGGTGGAAAAGTCGGGGATGACGTTGCCCGACTCGTCCGCGTTGTAGTCCAACGCCACGACGTCGCCGTCGCCGCAGGACGCCGTCAGGAGCGTCGACTGGTGGTCCTCCGTCACGAAGCCGTCGGCGCCGACCTTGTCGCCGCCGAACGTCGCCTTGAACGTCGAGTTCGTCGCGTCGCTGTAGATGCGGCGGATGCTGCAGCCGCCGTCGCAGGCCTCGGTGCACCCGAAGTCGTCGGGGAAGTTGATGCGGAAGGCCGCGTAGTGGACCGCCGTCGTGCCGAGCGCCGCCCACTCGTCGTAGAGGGACGACAGGTACGCGCCGACGTCCGCGGACGGGAACGGGCCCGTCACGCCGTCCAGCGCGAAGCCCGCGGCGAGGAGCGTCGCGTCCGGGTCCTCGCCCGTGGCGCCCGTGTACCAGTCGCTCTCGTTGACGACGGGCAGCTCGCGCAGGCCCAGGCCGTAGAGGTCCACCGCGTTCGACCGCTGGCTGCTGTCGTCGATGACGTCGAGCGTGAACGTGACGGCCTCCGCGGACGCGAGCGACGACGTCACGGGCACGAAGTAGACGGGCACGGCGTACTGGCGCGTGCAGGACCCGGCGCTCCCGCCGACGCCCAGCGTGATCTGGCCCGTCGACGACGGGCCGCCGAAGGAGAAGCCCGTGCCGTAGAGGAAGGAGACGTAGCCGGCCTCGGAAGGCAGGTTGTGGGTCGTGCCCTGCTGGTAGTACTCTTGCCACAGGGCCGGGTCGACCTCCGGCGAGGCGGCGTCGCCGACGCCCAGGAGCGCGAGGGCCAGCACGACGCGCATGGGTGGAAGCATGCTTCGTAGAGCTCCTTTTATAGATAATCGATTTCAAGTGCGTTGCTCGGGAGTTTCGGATCGGCGATGTTCAACGGCAACGTTGTGTCAACTTGGGCCGCTCCAGCATGCCTCCGTCGAGACTGTCGAGCTCGCATGTGGACTTGGCAGAGATGAGGTGTCTTGGCTCCGGCCGGCCTGGCTGATCTACATACAGACTTAGACTCGCGCGGCCCCCTACGAGTCCTACGCGTTCTTCTTGCGGCGGCACTTCTCCTTGCTCGAACAACGACGCGGGGCGGGGGGCGACGTAGGTGGTAGCCCTCTCGAAGCAATCGGTGACGCCTCCGTGGAGGGCCGAGCCGGTCGGTTGGCTCCGCAGTGGCGCCAGGCGAAGCGAGCCAACATCGCCATGGGACTGCCCCCCCTCCGGGGAGCACATCAACGCACAACCCCCCGTTACCCCCACGCGTCGGCCGGGAGGCAGCGGCAGAGCCCGCCGCTCCGGAGCGCGAAGTGGGAGTCGTGGGAGGCGACCTCCCAGATGCCGAAGAGGCCCTCGCGCGCGTCGTTGCCCGCCCAGAGGACGTAGGCGAAGTGGCCCACCGTCGACGTGCCGAACTCGTGGTAGTGGCAGGCGAAGGCGACCATGGACGCGTCGTGGCGCGCGCCGACGACGTCGAACTTGCCCCGCTCGTCCTGCCCCGCGCCCGACACGCGGCCCGTGGCGCCGTCGAGCGCGAGGGTGAGGTACGACGCGACCTTGAGCTCGCCGCTGTCCGACCGGTAGGCCCGGAGCTCCCAGGCCGCGACGGCCTCGAGCGTCCCCGCGAGCGCCGCGGCGTCGGCGCGCCGCCGCCGCACGGCGGCCGCGTCCGCGGGCGCCGCGACCGTCGGCGCGCCCTCCGGCACGGCGCACCAGTTGCAGAGCGCGCGCGCCGCGGCCTTGGACGCCGCGCCCTGGCAGGACTGGCTCGTCGCGTCCGCGACGACGCCGAGGTCGCCCGCGTCCGCGTCCTCGAGCGACACGCGGTAGAGGATCGCCTTCTGCGCGTCCGTGAGCGACGTGTGGAGCGCGACCTTGGCCGACGGCGACGTGAGGCACGACGTCAGCGCGCACCGGCCGCCGCAGCCCTCGAGCACGGCGCAGGCCTCGTCGCCGACGTCCGGGTGCGCGAGGCAGTTCGCGACGGCCGCGGCCGCGAGGCCGCCCAGCTGGCGCGACTCGCTGCCCGCGAGGCTCGCGAGCGCCGCGAGGCCCCCGCTCTTCACGACGGCCCGCGCGGCGTCCGTCGGCGAGTCGTCGATGGCCCGGAGCTCCGCGGCCGTGACGTCCACGAGGGCCTCGAGGAGCCCGTGGGCCTTGCGCCGGCCCTGCGAGCCGCCCGCGTTCGACGCGACGAGCGCCGCGTGCTCGACGAACGCCGCGGCCTTGAGGTTCAGGAACGAGATGTGGAGCACGGCCGCGCGCCGGTAGGGCCGGTCGTCCTCCTCGTCGTCGTCGTCGTCGTCGTCGGTCGGGAGCCCGATCCACCAGCAGCCCGCGAGGCGCCGCCGCTCGTACTCGCCGAGCCAGGGCAGGTCCGTCTCGAACCAGCGCCGCAGCTCCTGGCAGCACGCCGAAAGCACCACGATGGCCGGAACCGACATGTAGGTCGCGATGCGGGCGCCGAGCTCCTCGGGCAGCAGGTGCGGCCCGTTCGTCGTCCGCTCGCGCGGCGGCGCGGCGGCGGCCGCGGGCGCGGGCGCGGGCGCGTCGGCGGCGGCGACGTCGTCGAAGCGGCTGAGCTCGCTGTCGAGGCGCGAGATCGACGCGCGGGCGCGCGCGGACGAAATCTCGACGGATGCGAGCAGCTCCTGGCTCTTCACGAGCCACGCCGGCAGCATGCTCTGGCGCTTCTTGGCCGCCGCGTCGCGGCGCTCGGCCGCCGCATGATCATCAGCGACCGAGGTCATCCTGCGACGTTGGCCTTCTCGTCCTCCAGCAGGTGCGGCACGCCAATTGCTCCCCTAGAAGCCAGGCCGCCACCTCCCATCCTTCTCCAGACAGTCGTTTCCCAGCATGTTCGCTCCTCTAGAAGCCAGGCTGCCACCTCCCATCCTTCTCCCGGACGTCGTTTCCCAAGTTGCACATTCAATTAAACCTTACTCGCGCCGCTGCGTCTGGATGAGCTTCCACCGGTTCGCGTTGGAGTCGTCGAGCTGGACGCGCGACTCGCTGCCGTCGGAGTCCCATTTGACCATGTACCAGCCCGCCGCGGGCTCGTTGCCGCGGACGACGGTGCAGTCGAACCAGCCGTCGTCCTCGTGCCAGAAGAAGGACACGCGCTGGTTCGGCTTCAGGACCGGCGCCTTCGGCTCGACGGACCCGAACGCCGCGTCGAGGGCCGACTTGGCCGACAGCTCGCGCTCCGTTGCCGTCAGGAACGCCTCGAGGATCGGGAACCGGTCGGCCGCGGTCCGCGCGCAGAGGCACGCCGCGCTGTCCTCGCCGCTCAGCGCCGTCAGCGCGACGAGCGTGAAGGACGACCGCTCGAGCCGCTCCGCGTCCGTCCACGCGCCGAAGTTCTCCAGCGCGAGGTCCTGGAAGAGCGCGAGCTCCGACTCGAAGTCCTCGAGCCGCTCCCTCGCCTGCTCCGCGAAGACGCCCTTCGACTCCAGCTTCGACGACAGGCGCGCCGCGGACCGCGCGGCCTCGAAGCAGCGCCGCTCGAGCGCCGTCGTCGCCGCGTCGCCGGAGCCCGCGGCGTCGTCGACGAGCGGCCGGACCCGGGCCCGCGCAAAGGGGAACGTCGCGACCTCGCCGCCGACGACGACGCCGCGGCCCGCGCAGACCACGGTCACGAGGCGCGCGGCGGCGTCGTCCTCGCTCGCCGCGCCGTCGTCCGGCACCGGCGCCTCGACGCGCGCGACGAGGCAGACGACGCCGACCGCGCCGTCGAGCGAGTCGTCGCTCTCGCGGCGGACGACGTGGAAGAACTGCGGCGGCTCCACGGCGAGCGCGGCGTCGACGAGCCGCGCGTGCGCGGCGCTCGTGAACTGGTAGCTCGTCATGCTGTTGTCGAAGGGGACGGGGAACGGCAGCTCGTCCGTGCGCGGGTCGAAGACCGGGTAAATTGGCAACTCGTCGTCGCGCGGAATCTGCTCCGAAAAGCGGCGGCCGGTCTGGCGTGTGCGTGCGATCCGCGGCCGCTGCAGCGCGGTCGCGACGGCGATGCAGAGGACGCCGAGCATGCTTGGACGGCTCTTGTTGATTGACTCTGCCATCGCGTCACCTCACCACTTCATGTTGAAGCTGGCCTCCATGTTGAAGCCCGCATGCTTTCCTGGATCGCCCACGCGCCGGTTGGAGCGGTGGAGACCAGGCGCGTCGCGAGGGACGGGCACTAGCGACAGAAGCCATGCGATGGAAGCTCGAAAGGGACCGCGCGTTCGAGCGCGAGCACGGCCGCGGTGGCGGCGCGCGGTGGGTCTGGCAATCGAGCTGGCGCATCGCGACCCCCCTCCGCGACGAGTGGATAAGCACGCTCCCGCCGTCGCGGTTGTCAAAGTGGACGAAAGCGCCAAGTTTGAAGGCAAGATGATGAATCGTTGAGGCAGGCTGTGTTTAAACGATGGACGCCCCGTTCACGCTCGACCCGCGCGCCCTCTGCGAGCGCTACAACGCGCTCGCCGAGGAGGTGGGCGAGGAGCGCGAGTCCCTCACGCGGCGCCTCGGCGCGCTGCAGGCCATGAACGCCGAGGCCCACGAGCACCGGTTCCGCGCGCTGGAGCAGGCGAGCGAGCTGAGCAAGATGAACCGGGCCAAGGCGGACCTCGAGGAGCAGATGTCGAGCGGCAAGCTGAGCGTCGCGAGCCTGCTCAAGACCATCGAGCGCAAGGACGGCGAGCTCGCCGCGCAGGACGCGCGGATCCAGACGCTGCTCGCGTTCGTGCCCGAGCGCGACGTCGCGATGGTCTTCGACGGCGCGGCCCAGGGCCCCCGGACCGCGAACCTCGGCGGCGACGACCTCGACGCCGTCGCCGCGGGCGCCAAGTCGCCGCGCCACTGCGACCGCCCCGCGATCGTCGCGCGGTTCCCCCGGCGGTCCGCGGGCGGCGGCGCCGAGTTCGGGGACCTCGACCTGCGGAGGCACGGCGCCGCGGACCGCGGCGAGGAGCCCCGGCCGCCCCTCGGCCGCGGTCCCGCGCCGACGCGGCGCGGCGAGGGCGCCCGGCGCGCGGACGCGCCGCCGCCGCCGCCGGGCGGCGGCGAGCCGTGGCGCGGCGCGGTCGCCGCCGCGGACGACGACGACGACGCGCGGCGCGCGGCGGCGGCGCGCCACGCGTCGCAGGTCGACGCCTTCCGGGCCCGCGAGGCCGCGCTCATCCGCGAGCTCCAGCGCCGCGACGACCTGTTGCACGCGGCGACGCGCGACGTCGTCGAGGCCAAGCGCGAGGCGCTCGACGCGCGCGTGCGCCTGGGCCGCGGCGAGGCCGAGCTCGCGGCGGCCCACGCGCGCGTCAGCGACGCCTGCGTCGCCCTCCGGGCCCGCTACGAGGCCGAGGCGCGCGCCGCGCGCGCGGCGCTCGCGCGCGAGGTCGAGGCCGCGACCGTCGTCGAGGCGCGCGCGCGCAAGGCCGCCGAGGGCCGCGCGGACGCCGCCGAGGCCGCCCTCCGGAGCCAGACCTCGGCGCACAGCGGCGCGCTCCGCAAGGCCCGGGGCGACGTCGCCTACCTCAAGAAGACCGCGCGCGACCTCCAGCGGCGCCGCAAGCTCGAGCTCGAGGGCTACGGCCGCGACGTCGCGGAGCTCCGCCGGCGCCTCGACGCCGTGCACCGGTCCGGCGCCCTCAAGAGCCGGGAGAACGTCGCCCGCGTCCGCGAGGACCGCGAGAAGGCCGCGTCGACCTACGACCCGGCCAAGTTCGCGTGACTCGCGCGCTAATGCCAGTCCACAATCAGACCGCCTTAGAAGTCCCCGTCGGAGAAGCCCGAGGACTCGGAGTCCCCCTCGTCGTCGGAGTCGCCGCCGCCCGAGATGGCGCGGCGGAGCATGGACCGGCGGCGGTTCGCGGCCGTCGCCGCGTCGAACTCGTCGTCGGAGTCGGCGGCCGCGAGCGTGCGGATCGCGCCCGCGCGCTTGAGCGAGTGGCGGATGCCCGCGAGGAAGGTCTGCTCCTCGGAGCCGCGCTTGGCGGCGCGCGGCGCGCGGCGCCGCGCGGGCCGGCGGCCGCCCGCGAGCGCCGCGCGGACGTCGTCGGCCTCGCGCTTGAAGTCGTCGAGGAACGCGGCGACGTCGCCGAAGAAGGCCTCGGCCGGCACCTTGGCCGGGTCCTCGCCGAAGCCGCGGAGGAGCAGCGCGCAGGCCGACGACGTCGCCGCGAGCTTGTCCTGGAGCGCGTCGACGGCGCGCCGCGCCGCGTCGGCCGTGGCCCGCGCGCGCGCCTCGGCCGTCGTCTCGCCGTCGTCGAGGAGCGCGTCGGCCTCGCGCGCGGCCGCGGCCGCGTCGGCCTCGAGCGCGGCCACGTCCGCCCGCAGGTCCGACAGGGGCGTCGCCAGCGCCGCGGCGCGCGCCGTCGCGAGCTCGGCCTCGAGCGCCTCGCCGACGTCGACGTGCTTCGCGACGAAGCGGAGCAGGTTCCCCGGCGCCGCGTCGCCGAGGTCCGCCATGGGCGCCGTCTTCGCGTTCTTGAGCTTCCGCAGCGACGACACGCGCAGCGCCTGCTTCCAGCCCCGCGGCGTGCCGTCGTTGGCGAAGTTGTTGACCGCGAGGACGAACTCGAGGACCGCGCGCCACGCGGGCGAGCGCTTGACCTCGTCCGCGGCGTCGCGGAGCGTGTCCAGCGCCGCGTCCAACGCGTCGACGCGGCCGTCGAGGCGCGACGCGAGCCGCAGGCAGTGGACCTTGGCCGGCGCGCGCGCGACGGCGCCGAGCACCGCCGCGTACGTTCGACTCGCCGCGTCGAGCTTCGACCGGTCCGCGCCCTCGACGAGAAACGGCCGCATGGCCGCGGTCATGGCCGCGACGGTCTCGTCGGACTCGAAGAGCCCGTGGAGCACGTCGGCCTTGTCCGCGAGCGCCGCGGCGTCGAGGTGCTTGAGCGCCGCCGCGACCGCCTCCGGCTCGACCTTGAGCGACCCGTGGAGGATGTTCAGCTCGAGGCCCCGCCGCGGCCCCAGCACCTCGGCGACGACGCTCCGCTTCTTCGTGCCCGCCGCGGCCTGCTTCGCCGCGGCCGCCTCCTTGGCCGAGGGCGCCTTTTCGGCCTTGGCGTCGCCGTAGACGCGCTCCAAATCGTCGAGCGCGGCGCCGTCGAGCCATTTCGGGTGCTTGCCGCGGCGCTTCCGCGCGTCCTCGGCCCAGAAGCCGACGGCGTCGTCGTCGATGAAGTCCCACCAGAGGTTCCTCAGCTTGGCGCGCGGCGCGCGCGCGCAGCCCAGCGGCGTCTCGAAGCGCCGCTTCATCGACGCCGTCGCCGGGTCCGCCTTGGGCGCGGCCTTGGCCGCTTTGGGCGCGCCGAAGAGGCCCGCGGGGTCGAGGCCGTCGGCCCGCATCTTCGCCTCGACGGCGCCGCGGGGCACGTGCATCCTGAGCATGGACCGGTACTTCTCGTACTTGAGCGCGTCCGGGTCGAGGCCCTCGGCGCGCATCTTCGCCTCGACGGCGCCCTGGGGCACGTGCATCTTCAGCATCTTGTGGAACTTCTCCAGCGCCGGGTCCGCCGGCGGGACGCCGTCGACGTCGCCGGACACCGCCGCCTCCGCGCGCGCGGCGCCGACGACCTCGATCGCGCGCATCGACGCCTGCGACAACAATCCCGGCCGCGGCCGCGGCGCCGCGGCCGCCGCGGCCTCGCGCGCCTGCTTGAGCCGCTGCTCCTTGATGTAGGCCTCCGCCTCCTCGTTCTTCCGCTTCTCGTCGAGCTTGGCCAGGCGCCGCTCCTCGGCCTCGGCCTCGAGCTCCGCCCTGGTCTTCTTGTCCGCGACGCGGCCGTAGACGAGGTTCGGCGTGTATTTCGCCAGGCACGCGGCGGTGACGTCGACGCGCGCGACGGGCGCCTTCGCCGCCTCGTCGTCGTCCGACGAGTCGTCGTCGGAGACGACGGCCCGGGCGTCGCCCTCGGGCAGCAGGCGCACGAGGCCCGCGAAGTCGTCGCCGACGGACGCGAGGAGCGCCTCGGCCTTCTCGGTGCCGACGAGCAGCGCGCGGCGCTTCGCGCGCTCCGCGAGCAGCTCGACGCGCTCGCCGTTGCCCGCGGGCAGCGCGTAGACGTCGTCGGCGTCGTCGAGGCAGCGGCTCTCCCAGACGTCGAGGAAGCGCTCGAGCTGGCCCGCGAGGACCGCGCGCGCGCCGGCGTCGTCGCGCGCCGCCGCCGTCTCCTCGAGGAGCGCGTCGCGCGCGCCGCAGAGCGCCGGCGCCGACGCCGCGGGGTCCGTCGGCGCGCACGTCTCCGCCTTGGCCAGGTCCTCCGGCGCCGCCTCGAGCACGCCGTTGGCCGCGCGGAAGAGCAGCGCGTGTTTCCACAACGCGTCCGCCCGATCCGAGCCGTCCGCGACGAGCGCGGAGCAGAGGCTCAGCGCGCTCAGGCGGACGTCGTCGAGCTCCGCGCCGTCGAGGAGGTGGAGCAGGGACCCGTAGCGCGGCACGTCGTCGAAGCCCGGCGCGTCGGGCTTCTCCGGCAAATCGGCGAAGCCGAGGCCCGGCCCGCCCCACGTCGCGCCGCGGTCGACCCGGAGCAGGACGCCGTCGACGGCGTCGCGCGCCGCGCCCCGGCTCAGGTAGAGCGCCGCCATGATCTCCAGGGCCGCCGACGTGAAGAGGGGCACGCGCGACGTCGCGCTCAGGTAGAGGAACGCCTCCAGACTCTTCCGCTCGACCTTCTTCCGGAGCACCGCGCGGAGCACGCCGGGCAGCGCCAGCAGCATGCGCACGCAGTTGCCCGCTAATAACAGGTCGACGGCGTCGGCCATGGACAGGTGCGGCCGCTTCACGACGTGCTCCACGGTCTTGGCCAGGTGGCGCAGCAAGCCGTCGCGCGCCAAGATCGCCGTCGCGTTCGCGCGCTTCGCCTCGAGGCTCAGGCGCCGGAGCTCGCCGGGCACCGCGGCGAGCTCGCGCGACGTGTAGCCCCGGTCCTCGAGGCGCCGGTCGCGGATCTTGCCCGCGACGCCCGCGAGCGCGACGGCCCAGCGGCGCCGCGCGCGGCCCCGCCGCCGCCGGACGTCGCGCGCGACCGCCTCCAGCGTCCGGCGCCACTTCCGGACCTTGGACGCGTCCCGGCGGAAGCGCCGCGGGTCCACGACGACGGTCCTCGCCACGAGCTGCACGGCCTTGGCCTGGGCCGCGTAGGTCGCGTGCTTGCCCCTGGCCGCCGTGCCGAGCAAATAGTCGAAGCGGTCGGCCCACTCGTCGCGCGCCTCGTCGTCGTTGCAGTCAAAGGCGACGTCGAGCTTGCGCTCGCTCCGGTCGTCGAAGATGCGGCAGTTCGCCAGGAGCAGCGCGCAGGCGCGGTCGCCGTAGCGCTTCTTCGACGCGCGCGTGTCCGGGCCGTAGACGAGCTCGACCTGGTCGCCGCCGTCCGTCTCGAGGAGCAGCGCGCCGTCGTTCTCCGTCGCCGTCGCGCCGTCCCAGACCGACGCGCGGCCGAGCTTGCGGCGCACGAGCCGCTTGAGGGACCGCCGGCGGAAGAGGCGCCGGAAGCGGTCGTCGCCGATGCGCTCGCAGACCATGACGCGCGTCGGCGGCAGCGCGCGGCGCCCTAGGACGGCGTCGTCGTCGAGCTCGACGTCGCTGTCCGCGTCGTCGAGCGCCGCGAGGCCCGCGTCGCCGGACCGCGCGCTTTTCGCCGCCTCGGCCCGGGCGCCGTGGCGCCGGGACAAGAGGCCGAGCGCCGCCGCGAGCGGGACGAGCACGGCGACGAACGCGAGACCGACGGCCGCGTACGAGCTCACCTCCCCCAGGGAGTCGGCGACCTGGTCGACGCCGTAGGACGCGCCGAGCACGAGGCCCATGAAGGCCTCCTCGATGACCATCTCCTGGACGTCGTCGTGCATGAGCGAGAAGGCCGCCCACGACGCGATCGTCGACCGGTACGCCGCGGACGGCCGCCACTCGAGGCCCGCGCGGAGCTGCGCGACGTACGCCGGCGCCCAGCGCGGGCTCAGGGCCCGGTAGGCCCGGTTGTAGGCCGCGTGGTGCGGGTCCACCGTCGACGGGTTGCCGAGGTCGCCCGCGTTCTGCGCGACGCGCCAGACGACGGTCTCGACCTCCGTCGGCGCCCCGGCCTCGAAGCGGGCGACGTCGAGCGACCGCGACTTCACCGCGCGGACCACGCGGTGCCCGGCCGTCGCCGCCCACGCGCCGCAGCGCCGGAGCCGCGTCGGCTCCGGCGCCTCGGCCGCGCGCCGCCGCCGGTTCGACCGCGCGAGCGGGTCGACGAAGTCGTCGTCGTCGTCCGAGCCGTCGTCGCGCGTCGCCCACGCCTTCTCGGCGACGCGCAGCACCGTGGGCACGGGCAGCCCGACGTCCTCGAAGGCCGCGAGGTGCTGCGCGGAGATGAGCTCCGACGCCGTCGACGGCGCGGCGTTGCGGTACGGCAGGCGCAGGCGCACGGGGTCGCGGTAGTGCTCCATCTTGTCGCCGATGAGCATGGGCACGGAGCAGTGGCACACGGCGATGCGCGCGGGCTCGAAGATCACCAAGATGAGCCCGAGCGTCAGCATCGTGTCGGCCCACCACTCGCGCTGCACCGCCTCGTCCCTACCCAGGCCGAAGACGAGCAGGAAGTAGGCCGTCGCGGCGAGCACGAGGACCATGAGGACGAGGAGGGCGACCTTGACGTAGCCGCTCACGGGCGGCTCGCGGAAGTCGTAGCCCTCCTCGGCCCAGGTGCCGCGCGTGTTCAGCGCCTGCCGTAAAACCCGCCGCTCGTCGTCGTTGAGGTTCTCGTAGCGGCAGAAGTGGTAGATGAGGAGGCACTTCGTCGCCGGGTCCTCGACCTGCTGCAGGTCGCGGTCGAAGGCGATCGCCTCCTTGATCGCGTGGCTCAGGACCCGGTACGCCGTCGACGCGAAGACGTACTCCCAGCCCGCGGAGCCCGTCGACGAGATGCCCCAGAGCAGCTCGAGGCGGTGCTTGAGGAACCCGAGGTTCGACGCGAGCGCGCGCCGCTCGGTGACGGACATGCCCGGGTGGCGGCCCGTCTTCAGGTCCAGCAGCGCGTCGTTGAGCTCGACGCGCTGCCGCACGACGGCGCGCATCGTGCCCGGTAACGCCCGGAGCACCTGGCGCTCGAACCGGGACACGTCGGCGTTGTCCAGGGCCGCCCGGAAGTCGAAGGTCTCGTGCGCCGACGCCCGCGCGCCGCGCTTGAGCTTCGCCGTCGTCTGGGTCCGCGACCGCGCGCGCGTCGCGCGGTCGTCGCCGCGCCGCAGCACGCGGTGGAGCGCGGCGAAGAGCGGGCCGTCGTCGCGCGCGCACGCGTCGTCGAAGAGCACCTCGTCGTCGTCGCGGCCGCCCGCGTCGGGCCGCCACGCCCAGACGTGGTCGCGCGCGAGGTAGCGCCGCGTCGCGAACGCGGCGAGCTTCAGCGCCGGCAGGCACACGGCGATGGACAGCGCGACCATCGTGATGCGCACGAGGTTGTCGTAGGCGCCGGAGCCCGGCTGCTTCAGGCGGCACCGCGGGTCCACGAAGGCGTCCCAGATGCAGATCTTCGTGTCGCGGAACACGGGCGACCGCAGGTCCTCGCACGACGCCGCGTCGCCGAGGTCCTCGAGCGACTCGCAGACGCCCGCGGGGAAGACGAGCTCGTAGGTCACGGCCTCGGCGAAGAGGATGACGACGACGTCGAAGAGCGCCAGGAACGCGCGCGTCAGCCGCGAGAAGCGCGGGTCGTAGTAGAAGACGACGCTGAGGACGCAGTGGTACTGCTTGATCTTGTCCCAGACCAGCGACCCCGGCGTGTGGACCTTGGCCATGAAGTTGGGCATGGACGCTTCCAACAAGCCGTCGTGGACCTCGAGGGGGATGGACGACAGGCTCACCTTCTCGCTGACCCCGCGGCTCCCGCGGAACTTGGCCTTGGAGTCGACGAACGCGTCCAGCGCCTTCCGCGTCGCGTCCGCGCGGCAGCGCCGGTCCTTGTCCCAGCCCCAGACGCCGAGGAGCACGGTCGCGCCCACGAGCGCCGCCAGCGTATACAGCAAAAGCGTCGTCCGCGTCCACACGGCGTCCGTGAGGCCCTCGGCGAAGAGCTCCGCGTAGTAGGACGTGAACACGGCGTTCGTCGTCGACGCGACGGCCGTGGACCCGTCGTAGGCGGCCCAGAGCGCGACCTGCTCCGGCGAGCACTCGCAGACCGTGGCGCCGGCGGACGACGTCGCGGCGCAGACCGCGACCCAGGCCCCCGCGGCGACGTCGTACTCCGCGCAGCCCGGCTCGATCTGTCGGACGCACGTCGCCTCGTAGACCGTCCCCTCGTTGTCCGGGCCGCAGGGCACGGTGACGTCGTCGCCGCCGCCGTCGCACGCGACGACGATATCCTCGCCCGCGCAGGTCACGTTGACGGCGTAGAGCGTCTCGCTGAGGCCCGCGGGGCCGTCGACGTCGTCGTCGAACGAGAGCGTCGCGCCGCCGCCGCCGGACGAGAAGCCGCCCCGCCGGAGCCGCCGGCGGCCGTCCGGCGAGTCCGTCGCGAAGCCGAAGCTCAGGGTCCTCGACCGCACGTCGACGATGATGGTCGTCGACCTGTCGCCGTCCCTCGAGCGGGTCGCCGTCGAGGGCGCGTACGCGCCCGCGGCGTCGACGACGTACGCGAAGACCTCGAGCCACTCGCCGTCGCCCAGGTCCGTCGACGCCGGCAGCGCGAGCGCGCCCGCGCTCGCGTTCACCAGGGCGCCCGGCGCCGTGGCCGGCGAGAGCTTGGAGCAGCGCACGTCGATGACGTCGTTCGCCGCGCCCGACGGCCGCTCGTCCGCGGCCGCGTTGTTGAGGAGCGCCTCGCAGACCGAGCTCAGCGCCGCGGCGACGTCGTCGAGCGACGACGACGCCTGGAGCCGCCGGCCGTCGCCGCTCCGCGGCGGCGGCGCCGCGGCGACGGCGGCCGCGAGCGCGTCGGCGACGTCCTTCGCGAAGGCCTCGTCGTCGACGCCGCGCGCCGCGGCGTCCGCGGCGAGCGCGCGCGCGGACTCGAGGACGCCCGCAGACGCCGCCTCGTCGAGCGCCGCCGTGGAGGCGATGGCCGCGAGGCTCGACGCCTGCATGCGCGTCGCCGCGTCCGACGGCGGCTGGAGCGCCGCGACGGCGTCGCGGTGGCCCAGGAGCGACGCCGCGTAGGCCGTGCGCTCGGCCCACGCGGCGTCGTCGTAGGCGCAGGTCGGCCCGTGGAAGCCGGCGTCGCACGCGCAACTCGCCGCGCCGGACGCGGCCTCGACGCGGTCGCCGCGGCCGCCGCAGGCGCCGCCGAGCGGCGCGGCCCCGGCCTCGACGGCGCCGCTGTAGGCGACGAGCGCCGCGTAGGCCTCCTCGACCTCGCCGCTCGCGACGGTCGCGTCGAGGTCCGCGTCGGACGACGCCCGGAGCGCCGCGACGGTCGCGCCGGCCTCCGCGACGGCCGCCGTCGTCGCCGCGGTCGCGGCCGCGCCGTGCGCGTCGGCGACGGTCGTCGCGAGGGCGACGGCGGGGCCCGGGGGCAGCAGCAGGTCGCGCGCGCGTCCGTCCGCGAGGCCCTCGGCGAGGAGGCGGCTGGCCGTCGAGAACGCGTAGACGAGGGGCAGGTCCGCGTCGGTCCAGCCGCCGGCCTCGAGCGCGAAGCGCGTCGTCGCGGCCTCGCCGGTCGCCGGCGTCACGGCGAGGCGGCCGCCGTGGGGCGGGCGGTTCGCGACGACGGCGATGGACGCCGCCGCGGCGTTGCCCGCGTGGGGCCCGCCGTCGATCGTCGCCGTCAGCGTGAAGACGTACGTCGCGCCCGCCGCGAGCGGCCGCAGCGGGTCGCCGACGACGAGCGTCGCGTCCGCGGAGCCGCCGTCGAGCGACGCGGCGACGACGGAGCTCGGCGCCGCGTAGGGCGCGAGCGTCCAGACGTAGGACACCGTCGCGCCGTCGACGCCGTCGACGCGCGCGGCCAGACGGTTCTTCCGCGCGGGCGCGAGCGGGCCCTCGAAGTCGTCGATGGCGACGACGGGCGCGACGTCCGCGGCGACGGTGACGACCTGGACCGCGGCGTCGCTCGCGCGGCCGTCCTTCTCGACGACGACGGACAGGCGGTAGACGCCCGGCGCCGTCGGCAGCGCGACGACGGGCGACGACGCGTCCGCGAGCGGCACGGCCGCGCCCGTGTCGTCCGCGCAGGTCCAGGAAAAGGCCAGGTCGTCGGCGGCGCGGTCCCCGGGCGCGACGTCCGGGTCGTAGGACCCGGCCGCGTCCGCGACGTCGCCCGCGGAGGCCGTGCGCGCCGTCCCGCCGGCGAGGCGCGCCACCGGCCGCGCGCGGCCCACGGTCACCGTCGCCGCGGCCTCGTTCGTCGCGGTCCCGCGCGTCGCCGTCACGGCGAGGTCGAGGCGCGACCCGGGCCGCAGCGCGTAGGGCTCGAGGACGAAGTCGCGCGCGTTCGCGGAGACGTCCACGGGGAACGGCAGCGCCGCGCCGGCCTCGTCGACGTAGGCGACGACGCGCCACGCGCTTGTGACGGCGCCCGCGCCGCCGGCCGCGTCGCCGCAGCCCGACGCCGCGGCCTCGCTCCGCGCGTGGAGCCCGTCCGCCGCGAGGACGCGGACGTCGTCGCCGCCGGCGACGGCGACGGACGGCCGCGGCGACGCCGCGACGGCGAAGGCGAGCGCCTTCGGCGGCGCCGCGGCGCCGAGGAAGTTCTCGAGGGCGACGGTCACGGTGACCGTCTCGCCGACGACGGCCTCGAGGTCCGCGGGAGAGAAGGCCAGCGTCGCCGAGCCCGCGGCCGCGGCCGCGCGCGCGCCGAGCGCGGCCGCGTCGACGGTCCAGGCGACGGACGCCCAGGCGCGGCCGCCGTGGCCCGTCGACGCGGAGACGTCGAGCGTCAGGCCCTCGCAGGCGACGACCGTGGACGCCGCGGGCGTGAGCACCGCGCGGGGCGCGACGGCGGCGACGGGGCCGGCGATCGTCGCGGCCGAGCGGCCGTTGGAGGGGCTGCAGGACGCCGCGCCGGCGCCCTGGACCGCGCCGGCGCGCAGCGCGACGCTGTCGCCCGCGCGGACCGTCGCGCCGGGCCCGAGCGTCGCCGCGAGGCGCGTCGCCGACTCCCAGGCGCACGTCGCGTCGCCGGAGCCGGCGAGCTCGAGCGCGTCGTCGCAGGGCCAGCGGGCGCCGTCGACGGCGACCGCGGCCGGGCCGTTCAGGGCCACGACGACGACGCCGCCGCTCGCGTCGAAGCGCGCTCCCTCCACTCCGGGGGCCGCGACGTCGGCCGCGGCCGCGTCGCACGGCGTCGGCGCGGCCGTCGGGGCCTTCGGCGCCGCCGTCCGCGCGGCCGCGTCCGGCGGCGACGGCGCGAGCGTCGCGGCGACCGCGGGCTCCCCCTCGCCGGGGCCCGTCGGCGGCGCCGAGCGCGCGGCGGACGGCGCGGCGGTCTGGGGCGCGAGCGTCGGCGAGCCCGGCGCCGCCGTGGGCGCGAGCGTCGGCCGCGGCGTCGGGAACTCCGTCGGCTTCGCGGTCGGCGGCGCCGTCGGATTCGGGCTCGGCTTCGGCGACGGCGGCTCCGTCGGGAGCTCCGTCGGCTTGTGCGTCGGATCGTGCGACGGCTTCGCCGACGGCCACGGCGTGACGGGCGCCGCCGTCGGATTCCCCGGCAGCACGGTCGGTCCGGGCGTCGGCCCGGGCGTGGGCGCGTCGGAGGGCTTGAACGTCGGCGCGGGCGTCACGGGCGCGAGCGTCGGCTCGCCCGGCTTCACGCTGGGAGCAGGGGTCGAGACCGAGGGCGCGGGCGTCGGAGTGACCGAGGGCGCGGGCGTCGGAGTGACCGAGGGCGCGGGCGTCGGAGTGACCGAGGGCGCGGGCGTCGGCTCGCCCGGCTTCACGCTGGGAGCAGGGGTCGAGACCGAGGGCGCTGGCGTCGGAGTGACCGAGGGCGCGGGCGTTGGCTTGACCGAGGGCGCGGGCGTCGGAGGGACCGAGGGCGCGGGCGTCGGAGGGACCGAGGGCGCGGGTGTCGGCTCGCCCGGCTTCACGCTGGGAGCCGGGGTCGAGACCGAGGGCGCGGGCGTCGGAGTGACCGAGGGCGCCGGCGTCGGAGTGACCGAGGGCGCGGGCGGAGTGACCGAGGGCGCGGTCGTCGGCTCGCCCGGCTTCTCGCTCGGCGAAACCGTCGGCGCGGCCGTCGGCGACGCGTTCGTCCAGGCGCAGTACTGCGCAATGTTGTACATGTCGTCACACAACTCTTCCTGGCCCTGGCGCGGATGGTCCACGCTGTAGCATTCGCCATAGTTCCAGCACATGGTCTCGCCGGCTTCGAACGGCCCGTACCCGTCGTGGCAGGCGTCCGCGACGTCCTCGCACGACGGCATCGACGTCAGCGCCCACGCGCACCGTTCGCCGGCGCAATCGCCGCCGGTCGCCTGGTCAGTGGCAAGTTCGCACGTGCCACTGTAGTGGCAGACGATGTCGCCGACTTTGAAGAGGACGTAGACGGACTTGCAGATTGACGCCTCGCACGGCGGCATCGCGGCACCTTCATTGTAGTCGCGCTGGACGTCTTGTTCGCTCAGCGCGGAATCATAGAGGCGGAGCTCGTCGATGTAGCCGTGGAAGTGCGAATGGACGCAGTCGTCCTCGGAGGCGAGCCGCCGGCTGAAACCTTGGTCGCCCCCGCCTCCGCCGCAGTCGCCCGGTTCGAGCACGCGGCCGACGGAGATCGCCGAGGGCCTGGTGTTGAACTGGGGCAGGTCCCGGAAGGTCTTTACCTTGGCGCCGTCGACGCTGAGCGCGAGCTCCCCGACGCCCGGGTCCGAGAGGATCGCGCAGTAGTGGTGCCACTCGTCGTTGAACTTGACCGGCACCGCCAGCTCCAAGTCCGAGACCTCGAACTTAAGCTGGCTGGTGCCAAAGTGCGCGCCAAAGTAGGTGTCGTCGCGGTCGTCGCGGAAGTAGACCTCAAAGCTTTTCAGGTCCTCGTGGACGCCGAGCTGGAAGACGACGTGCATCTCGCCCGTTTCGGCGGCGGTCTTCTTGGCCCAGAAGCAGACGCTCCGCGCCTTCCGGCAGCAGAAGGGGCCGTCGGCCTCGAAAACCTTCAGGCCCTCCGTCTTGTACGTAAGGCCGCCTTCGCCGAACTTGAAGACGTCGGACGACCATGGGTACCTGCGGGCGCGGCCGTCGGCGCGGGGGGCTTTTCGAAAGGGGGGCGCCGGCGGCGCGCGAGTCGGAATCATCGACGCGCACGGGCGCGGGGTCGGGTCGCGCGCGGATCACCTACGTCGCGCGATCGCTCGGCGGCGCGCGGCGCGCGAGGGCCCTTACGTTGTCTTCGGGGATGTTCCCCGTCCGATCGGCCTCCGTGCGGGGCGCGCCGCTGAGAATCCTGAACGCGGGTGGCTTGGCCGCCCTCGCCCCTGCGGCGCAGAGGAGGAGCAAGGCGACGACGGCCGCGGGGCGGCGGGCGGCGCCGGGGCGGCGTGCCAGGCGCATGTCGGAGACGTGTCGTTCGGGTTTCGCGCGCGCGAGTGTTTGATCTCGTGTGAGCGGCGTGTGGAACGGCGCAGAATCTCTCAGATCACGCAAGCCATCAGAGGGGAAAGCGCCGGGCGCTCCGCGCGCGCGGGGCGCGAGCACGCCTCCGGACGCCTAGGCCTACGCCTCTCCCGTCGGCCTCGCGGCGGTCAAAAACACAACGACTCTCCGTGGCCCTTCTTCGACTCCGCGCCGGGGTCGCGACTCCACCCCCCGCGGCGGAACGGCGCTTGCAGCAGACAAGCTTCGACCGAGGCGGGTTACTTCGCGCGACCTTTTTTCGCGCCGCTCCTAGCGCCCGCCGTCCTGACGCCGCTTGTCGAGGAGGGAGAGCGCGACGCCGCCGCCGAGGGTGGCGCAGATGATGGCGAGGGACGTCGCCGTGGGTATGTGGACGTGGAAGTACTCGGCGAGCATCTTGACGCCGACGAAGCCGAGGATGAGCGCGACCGCGGGCCGGAGGTAGGGCAGCTCGGCGATGGCGGCGGCGAGGACCTGGTAGAGGGAGCGGAGGGCGGCGATGGCGAAGATGTTCGACGAGTAGACGATGAAGGGGTCCTTGGAGATCGCGAGCACCGCGGGGATCGAGTCCACGGCGAACACAAAGTCGCTGAGCTCGATGCAGACGACGCAGAGGAGGAGGGGCGTCGCGACCTTGGCGCCGTCCACCAGGGTGAAGAACTTGTCGCCGTCGAAGTAGTCGACGCCGCCGCAGAGCTTCCGGCCGAGCCGGACGACCTGTGTGCAAATCAACCAGTGAGCTGGGACGTCGGGGCCAAACTTGAGAATTCTCTAGCTCGGTCAAATCGAAGTCGATTCGGCTGATTTTTGGACGAATCGATTGCTCTTAGCGAGTTCTCGAAGCACGGCGGAAGTGCTCGTGTCAAAACATTCGCATACGCGCAAATTGAAGTCGGGTTGAAGATTTGATTTGCACACAGCGGACGACGGCGTTCTCGCCCATCTCGCCGCCGTCGCCGTGGTCGTCCTCGACGAGGAGCTTGTAGCTCGACGCGAGCAGGATGCCCGCGAAGACGAGCGTCACGGACCGGAAGCGGTTCACGAGCTCCACGCCGACGGCGATCATGACGCCGCGCATCGCGACGGCGCCGATGATGCCTACGACGGCCGGGTTCCGCGCGCGCGCGGGGTTTCGGGACGCGGCGCGCCGCGCCCCACTTGAGCGCGCGCTGCTGCAGCGCCGCGGGCACCTTGAAGTACTCGAAGAGCAGGATGAAGACGAAGAGGTTGTCGACGGACAGCGACTGCTCGACGAGGTACCTGCGGGCCGCCGCGTCCGCGCGCGCCGCGGCCCGGGGCGGCGCCGGCGCGCGGACCCGGCGAAGAATTCCATGGCCGACTGGCGGCCCCGCGTCGCGGCGACGCCGACGCCGAAGAGCGTCGCCGCGGTCACCGTGAGCAGCTGCGCGCGCGCGCGGGTTTTCGGCGGAGCGCGCGCGCGCGCGCGGCGGACGCCGGAAGCGCGACGGTGCGGATGACGGCGCCGCGCATCTCCGCCGCCGCCTTGGCGTCCACGGCGCTGCCGCCGCCGCGCAGCGACGCCGACGCGTCCTCGAAGGGCGCCAGGGCCGCGGACCGGCCCGCCGCCAGCGGCTGCTTGCCGCGCGCGAGCTGGAGCGCCTGCGGCTTGATTTGGCGCGCCGCCGCCAACGATGCGATCGCCGCGGCGACGAGGAACTGGAAGCTGCGCATCGTTGCACACGAGGATGGCTCGCTTGAGCAGCAGAGACGAGTCCAAGGCGATCGCACACGTCGACGTTGCGCCGCTGATGGCAGTGGTGCAAACCTCGCCGTGATGAAACCCCAAGACGTCCCAAGCCGAGCTGCCCCGACGCGTATGCGCCGAAGGAATCGCGTGGGTCCGCCACGCAGCCGGGACCAGGACTCAGAAAACACTTAATTGCTGCCGCACGGCCGGGCGCAGCGGCGCGCCTCCCGGCTGCCATGGGAGCGGCGGCGTCCGCGCGAAAAGCGCCAAAGGACTCCGTGCTCGGGTCGCACGACCTCCCGGAGCGGCTGCGGAAGGGCTCGAGAGACTTCGAGGCCTACCATCAGGGCGAACAGCGATGGTTCCGAGGGAGAGTCGTCGCCGACGACGGGCAGCTGCTGCGGATCTCCTACAACGGCGCGTCTCCCCGCGGCCGCGGTCGCTCCCGACGCCGCCGCCGCGCAGGCTTCGACCATCGCTACGACTCCTGGCTCCAGCGCGACAGCCACCACCTGAGGTGCGTGGATGACGCGGAGAACCGCCGACGAACGCGCGCGCGCGTCGCAGGCCGCTTCGACCGCGCGGCGCCGCGCCGCGCTCGCGCGACAGCTTCGACAACATCATGTGCGAGCGAAGCAAGCCGAGCCTCGCGGGCGCGTTCGTGTAGTAATTCGTTTTTTGGACTAGCGGGAGTGTCCCTCACGGCTCTTCATTATAGACTTCAACTTATGATTCAACCTAGCAAACCTTTCTGTATTCTCGCCTCGTGTCGTGGGATGCTGCCGCGATTACTAGGCCTGTTGGGCGTGGCGTGCGGGACGACGACGGCGGCGCGCGCGCCGGACGAAGGCACACGCGGTGGACATGGCGCTGCCCCGCCGCCGCACATCATCCACATCGTCGCCGACGATTTGGGCTGGAGCTACGTGGACTGGCACCGCGACCCGCGCACCGCCGACCCCCCCGACACCCCGCTCACGCCGCGCTTGGACGCGCTCCGCAGGGCGGGCGTCACGCTGGAGCGCCACTACGCGTTCCAGTACTGCTCGCCCTCGCGGTCCGCGCTGCTGTCCGGCCGCAACCCGATCAGCGTCAACGTCCAGAACGTCGTGCCCGAGGTGTCGAACCCCGAGGACCCCGTGGGCGGCTGGCAGGGGATCCCCACGGCGATGACCGGCCTGGCCGAGGTCCTCCGGCGCCGGGGGTACCGGACCGAGGCCGTCGGCAAGTGGGACGTGGGCATGGCGACGGCGGCGCACCACCACCCGCGGGCCCGCGGCTTCGACGCCTGGACCGGCTACTGGCACCACGCCAACGACTACTGGACGTTCGCCGAAGAAACCTGCGACGGCGAGGCCGTCCAGGACCTCTGGCACTACAACGCGACGTTCGACGGGCCGGCGACATGGCTGCGGAACGGCCCGTCCTGCACCCAGGGCAACCAGACGCACACCGCCGCGTCCCCCTGCGTCTACGAGGAGCAGCTGCTCGCCGACCACGCCGTGCGCGCCGTCGAGGAGCACGACGATACCGCGCCGCTCTTCCTCTACTGGGCGTTGCACCTCGTGCACATGCCCCTCCAGGTGCCCGACGCGTACCTCGCGCGCTTCGACGGCATCCCGGACGAGCCCCGCCGCTTCATGACGGCCATGGTCCGCTACGCCGACGACGAGGTGGGCCGTCTCGTCGACGCGCTCGAGCGGCGCGGCATGCTCGCGAACGCCGTCGTGACCTTCCACTCCGACAACGGCGGCGAGATCATGGGCGCGGGCGCGTGCGGCGGCAACAACTGGCCGCTGACGGGGGGCAAGTTCTCCAACTTCGAGGGCGGCATCCGCGTGAACGCCTTCGTGTCCGGCGGCGCCGTCCCGGAAGCCCGGCGGGGCGCCGCTCTGTCGCAGCTGAGCACGCTCTGGGACTGGTACGCGACGTACGCCGGGATCGCGGGCGCGGACTCCATCGACGACGCCGCGGCGGCCGCCGCGGGCCTCCCGCCGCTCGACTCCGTCGACCAGTGGCCCTACGTGACGGGCGCGAACGCCACCCCCCCGCGGCGCGAGGTCGTCATCGGCGACACGACGGCCGTCTACCCGAACGCCGACGGCCGGACGCGCGTGGGCGGCATCCTCGTCGAGGGCGGCTGGAAGCTGCTCCTCGGGCCGCCCGACAAGCTCTACACCGTCGGGCAGTACGTGCGGACGGGCCCGAATTGGCCCAACGCGAGCTCGCACCTCGTGCCGCTGCTCCATCCGAAGACGTGCGGGCGCGAGCCCGCGCGGGGGTGCCTCTTCAACGTGCTCCGGGACCCGACGGAGCGGCGCAACCTCGCGGCGACGAACGCGACCCTGTTCCGGGCGCTGCTCGCGCGCGTGGACGCGCTGCAGCAGTCCAGCGAGGTCTACTCCCCGATACGGGGCAAAGTCGACCCGCGAGCCTGCGAGGTGGCGACGAACAAGTACGGCGGGTTCTGGGGCCCTTCGCCGATTGACGGATAAACCCGCAGGGTTGAAGTTCATGGTGCATAGGCGAGCTCTTCGCGGATTGAGGTGGAGGTGCTTGGGCGCGAAGAGCGCGCGACGTCGCGCGCGCGGGCAGATGAGGACTGCGGCAATGTGTGCGCTGCTCCTCCGCGGCGCATCGGCCTTCGGCTTGCGGCTTGCGGCATCGTCGGCAAATTTTCGGCATCGGCTTTCGGCGCGAGGCGAGCTCCAAGGGCCGCGCGATCAACGTCGTCGTCGACGCGGGCCTGCGGTCGTCGCTGCGCCTCGACGGCAAGTACCGGCGCGCGCGCTGCTTCCTGCCGGAGGGCGTCGGTCTCGACGACGAGGGCGCCCTGCGCGCGGCCGTCGAGGCGGCGATCCCGCCCCTGGCGCTCGCGGACTACGCCGTCGACGTCGAGGAGAAGGACGGCGCCGCGGCGCGCGCGACGGTCGTCGGCGCGGCGCCCGCCGCGCGCGAGACCGACGACGCGCCGTCCGTCGCGGCCTGGCGCGCCAGATGCGACGAGACCGACGTCGTCTCCTTCCACGACTTCGGTCTTCGCGTCGGGGAGGCGCCCGCCGCGGCGAAGGCGAAGCGCGCGCCCGTCGCGGCCGAGGCGCCCGTCGCCGACGTCGCCGAGGGCGCGAGCCCCAAGGGCCGCGCGGTCAAAGTCGTCGTCGACGCGGGCCTGCGGTCGTCGCTGCGCCTCGTGGGCAAGCACCGGCGCGCGCGCGTCTTCCTGCCGGAGGGCGTCGGCCTCGACGACGAGCGCGCGCTGCGCGCGGCCATCGAGGCGACGATCCCGCCCCTGGCGCTCGCGGACTACGCCGTCGCCGTCGAGGAGAAGGACGGCGCCGCGGCGCGCGCGACCGTCGTCGGCGCGGGCAGCGCCGCCGCGCGCCGCCGAGGACGCGGTTTCGCCGTCCTTTGCGGGCGCGAGCTACCAGATGGTGTCCTGGTACCACTTCTTCGAGGCGCCGCTCGACGACGGCGCCGTCGACGCGGTCGTCGCGTCGCTCGCCGCGGAGTGGCGCGGCCTCGGCGTCGTCGGCCGCGCCTACGCGGCGCCCGAGGGCGTCAACGCCCAGCTCGCCGTGCCGGCGCCGTCGCTCGACGCGCTCGCCGCGGGCCACGCGCGGCGCTTCGCGCAGCTCGGCGCGGCGGCGCCGCCGCTGAACTACGACGAGCGCGTCTCCCCCGCGGACTTCGCCGCGCGGCCGCCCTTCAAGGCGCTGCACGTGCGGCGCCGGGAGCGGGTCGTCGCCGACGACGGCGGCGCCGACGGCCTGGACCTGCGCGACTGCGGCGACGAGCTCGCGCCGGACGCGTGGCACGCGGCGCTCGGCGGCGACTTCGCCGGCGGCGGCGGCGGCGGCGGCGCGCCCGTGGTCCTCGACGTGCGGAACCACTACGAGAGCGCCGTCGGCACCTTCGCGGGCGCGACGGCGCTGGGCACGGAGACCTTCAAGGACACGTACGCGGCGCTCGACGGCGCGCTCGCGGGCAAGCCCAAGGACGAGCCCGTCTACATGTTCTGCACGGGCGGCATCCGCTGCGTCAAGGCCGGGAGCTACGTGAAGCAGGCCCTGGGCTTCGAGCACGTCAAGCGCCTCGAGGGCGGCGTCGTCAACTACACGCGGCACCTGAAGGAGAACGCCGCGTCGCTGGAGGAAACGTCGCGGTTCCGCGGCGTCAACTACGTCTTCAACGACCGCGTCGGCGAGGCGGTCACGGCGGAGGCGCCCGACCTCGCGGCGGCGCCCCTGGACCCGCGCGCCGCCGAGGCGCTCCACGCCGCGCGGCGGCCCGCGCGCGACGACGCCGTCGACGCCTACGCCGCGGCGCACTCGAGCCGCGAGCCGGCCGTCGTCGAGGCGTGCCGCCTCGACCAGGGCAGGACAAGAGAGCGAAATTCCCAACTTCAAAGGCTCGTATCTCGGCCGTTTTCCACTCGTTTCGGCTGATTTTTGGACGAGCGATCATCTCTCGGAACGGTCTCGACGCGTGGGTGCTTTTTTCGTGACGCGCGCGCGCGGAACACTCATGTTGAAGCGACGTTGAATCACCCTTGTCCTGCCCAGGCCTCGACGCGCTCGCGCGCTACCCGGCCGCGGCGCACATGTGCAGCGGCCACGCCCAGGGGTTGCTGCTGGCGACGCTCTGCCGGCTCATGCGCTGCGAGTCGGCGCTCGAGCTCGGCACGTTCTGCGGCTACGGCACGCTCTGGCTCGCGTCGGCGACGAAGACCAAGGTCGTCACGGTGGACCGGGACCCGCGCGCCGCCGCCGTCGCGGCGTCCCACTTCGCGCGGGCGGCGAGGGAGGAGGCCTGGGCGGCCGTCGTCCAGGTCGACGCGGACCGCGCGGACTATTTGGCGTCGGACCGCGCGGTCGACGACGGGCCGCACGACCTCATCTACGTGGACTGCGACAAGAAGGGCTACGCGAAGATCTTCGACGCCATCCTCGACCGGGGCCTGCTCAAGCCCGGCGGGGCCGCGGTCTTCGACAACACGCTCTGGAAGGGCAAGGTCGTCGACGGCGCGACGGGCATGACGCCCGCCGAGGAGGCCGCGGTCCTCGAGTGCGCGCGCGACGACGCGGCGCGCGACGGGCGCGACGACCCGGAGCGCGACGCGAAGCGGGCGCTCAAGGCCGCGAAGCGCGACCGGGCCATCCAGCAGGCGCTCCACGAGTTCAACGTCAAGCTCCGCAAGGACGCGCGCGTGGACCAGCTCCTCCTCCCGCTCCGCGACGGCCTCACGGTCGTGACGCGCGTTACATAGTGGGGCTTAGCACGTCGACTCGCAGGCCGTGCCCATCTCCAGGGCCCAGATGTTGCCGTTGTTCTCCCGGTTGCACGCGCAGATCTGGGCGTCGTTGTCGAGCGAGCCGGCGTCGCAGCCGATGACGTTGAACTCCCAGGTCATGGCGCCCCATTTGCCGCTGTAGTAATGCACAGCGTGCGGTTCCGTCGCGTCCGTCCGTTGGCCCACGGCGACGCCGTCCGCGCGGAGCCGCGCGTCGAAGTACTCGAGGAGCGAGACCGTGTCGTTGCTGCAGTCCGACGAGCCGCGGTACTGGAACCCGACGTGGTCGTCCATGAAGTGGTCCCAGTTGCCCCCCCACTTCCACTCGTTCGACGAGCCCGTGTGCGCGTGGACCTTCTCGACGTAGGCGCCGTAGTCGGCGACGGTGTACTCGAAGTCGCTCGCGCCGGCCAGGCCCCGGGCCGCGCGGTTCTCGACGTAGGTGACGGGCCTAAAGGAGCGGTGTCGCGAGACGCGCGGACGAAGAGAGAAACAGCCGCGCCGGCGCCGCGCGTCTGCAGGGACCCGTAGGCGTCCGCGGCGCCCTGGTGGGACACGCGCGCGACGGCGCAGGCGTCGCCGCCGAGGACCGCCACGGTCGGCTGCATCGGCGCGGCCACCCGGGCCCAGTTCCGCGCCGTCGCCTCGGCGGCCGCGGACGCGACCTGGACGTCGAGGATGATCGGCGGCGCGAAGCCGTGGCTCGAGATCCAGTCCGAGACCTCGCTCGCCGTCCGCGCCGTCTTCGCGGTTTTCACCTCGTAGTATTCGTCGAGCTTTTCGACGTCGTCGTACGCCAATCGTTGCGCCGCCTCGCACTCGTCGTCGCCCCACAGCGCCCAGTCGCCCGCGAGCGCCTCCATGCCGGCGCTGCGCATCGGCGCGGCGATCTCGTAGATGCGGCCCGCGATGGCGAATTGGGCGTGGGCGACCGCGACGTCCGTCCGCCCGTAGCCCTCGTAGCCGAGCGACCGCCGCTTGAGCAGGGGCACGCCCCGGGCGCGGATCGCGCGCACGTGGCGCACGAAGTTCTCAGGGGACGTGTACAAGGAGACGCGGTTGTGCATGAACGCGTTCCACGCCTCGCCCGCGATCGTCGCGTTGACGACCCTCTCGAAGAAGGTCACCCACTCGACGAGCGTGACGTCGCCCGTCGTGAGCGCGGGCGCCTCGACCCAGTGGAGGCCGACGCCGTCGCCGAGCTCCGCGTAGGACTTGACGCCCGCGCAGCCGAGGCACGTGACCTCGATGGGCGCGATCGCGTCCTTGACGAAGGGCACGACGGTGAGGTAGGCCCCGGGCGGCACGGCGTGCGTCACCTTGTAGGTCCACCAGTCCGACTTGCTCGCGTTCCACGCCCGCGTCAGGTTCGCGTCGATCGTGGCGCCGGGGTCGGTCCAGAGCCGGCTCCAGGCCGCGCGTCGCCGGGGCTGCGTGCTGAGGACGGCGGCGGCGGCGAGGAAGCCAAAGGCGCAGAGAAAGGGGCTGCGGCTCCGCGCGGGCGAGGCCATCGCGGCTCACGGGGCTGCGACCGCGCTGGCAAGCTGCCGTTTCGGCCCACTAGCACGGGATGCCGCGTAGCTCCATCACTCAATCACACATCAACCACGAGGTCAAGAACCCATGGTGAACGGCGCTCAGGATCGCCGGTGCCAATTGAGGTGCAGTGCGAGGGCGCTCGCCGCCAGAAGACGCGATGACGCGCGCCTGGGCCGTCGCCGCTGGCCAGCGCCGTGCTGAGCCGCGTCGCGGCCGACGGCATGATCCGGAACGCCGAGGCCTACTGGGTAAGTAGGCGCGCGCCGCCCCGCGATCCCCCCCCCGCGCTCGCCGACCCGCAACCACCGTAGGTCATCGACCCGACGGACCAGACGTGCCTGACGGAGCTGGGCACCTTCGGCGCCTGCGACGACGACGCGCTCTTCATGTACCTGAGCCGGCCCGTGGGGTTCTGGGACCGCCTCTTCCGCGGCGCGAAGTCGCGGCGGAGCCTGGCGATGGTCCTCGAGCCCGTGCCGTCGCGGAGCTGCCTCGCGACGAAGCGGGCCTTCGGCCGGACGATCCTCGGCGGCGGCGACTGCTCCTCCGTGTCCAAGGCCCAGCAGTGGGAGATGCTCCAGAGCAACGCGCGGCGCTTCGCGGCGACGACGAACGAGGACGCCGTCGCGCACGTCGCGCTGACGACGAACGGCCAGAAGGACTGCG